TTACTCAGAGTTCCAGATTAAAATGAACACAGATCTGTTGTTTTCAGATTGAACAGAGAATCAGGCTGCAGAGCTTCTAGAGATCCTGAAAATGATTTTCTCTGGCATCATTATATCGGTAGTCAGGTTCATCAATCTGATTTTAAGCAGAGCAGAGACACAATTAGGGAGAGCTGCTGATTTAAAGGTGAAACAGATTTACTGGGATATGCAACATGCAATAAAACATGTCTCTAATTTTACAAGAAAAAACATGCAATGCTATAATAAAATTCAACATATCTTTTGGTCTTTTTTTATATAGCTGTGCAGCAACCCAGAGTCAGCCAGACCCACAGGACACAGAATTAAAACTAAAATATTAGAAACCTGCAAGAATTAAAGCACAAATAATACAAATCAGTTTGGAAATTATTTTTGAAATATAAGGTTTAATATATAGACTTTGGCTCTCAATGATATATGGGACAAAGTACACCCTTTGATGTGGGTAGCATTAGAATACTGCTAATATGTGTAAAAGTTGTATGTTTTAAAAGAGTCAAGACACCTTCTGTTTGTTTTGTTGTTTTTATTTTCAACATTTAAATGTCTGGGTTCACTTGGTTCAATATAAACAGATTAGATTAATGAAGCTCCATCTGAAGGAAAAAGCCTTCCTCACTATATATACTGTGTTTGTTCATTTCTAAACATTTAAATATTGTTTTCTGGTATTTTTAAATCATTTAGATTAACTGTTATTTATTGGACAATTTATTTATCATATGAAAAGCTGTTTGAGCCTTTAGGTTAGTTTGTGCAGCTGTAAAGCATGGTGGTGGCCGCATCATGGTGTGGAATGGCTTTATAATGGTGCTGATTATGGGGAAAAATTATAGGAAAAACACTTTTTGTGAACTTCCTCCTGGTTAGAGTTGTGAGGGACTCCCATTTCCATTTGCTTTTGTGTTTTTAACGAAAATATGAATCTATCTGAGAAAGCTCAGGGTTCAGATCTCCGGCTCTACCTAAATGTTCTTAAACAGATAAATAAAGTTTTATTCAGAGGGAAAGAGTGGAAAATCTCTTTAATTTGTATAAATCTATAGACCTCACTTAATGCAGCGACGTGATTAAATTTTAACAGGAAATCCTCAGATTTCCTTCTATTTCACCCAAACTCTCATCATTTAAGTCCAGATCTGTTTAGCTGATTTATTAGAGCTGTTCTGCAGATCAGTTCCAGCTTTACAGCTCCATATCTGGTTCCTACATTGTCTGCGTTGAACTAAAGCTTTTTTCGGCTGCTCTCTGTGAGCAAATAATTTCCTCTTCCTTATCGGAGCCAAATGTTTGTAACAAGTTTCCCCCTGAGCTGCAGACAAACAGCTGAAACAGGATTCCAGAGAGTTTCCTCCCAGTCTGCTGGCTCTGCTCCCAGCTGCTCTTTCCCTCATTCTCACTGTTGTTTCTGGTAAAAGATAAGAACATCAGTTACTAAGCAGTGGGTGGGGGGGTGGGGGCGTATTTCCTCCTGCTTTTATCTGTTGCATGCAGTCATCACAGGGTTGGATAATTGTTTCTAATATTAACTCTTTGCTGTCATTTCAGAGCTGCAGAAAGAGGAAGATGAGGATGAGGATCTGCAGCAGCGGAGCGTCCCTGATGGTCCCAGCAGCACGTTCAGCCCTGATCCATCCCATCCCTACTATGATGTCGCTCGCCATGGAATCGTCCAGGTTTCAGGTCAGAGACTGGACTCACTTTTTGTTTTCCCTTTATTTTTAAATGTTTGATTCCCAGAAAATTAAATTATTTATTACTATAAATGTAATCCCAAGATTTAAGACACAAACCGATTTAATTTTAGAGCGTTTATTATTGGAAGATTTGAATAAAATAATCCAAAAATGCCTCCGCTCTAGCATTCTGGCAAATATCAGTCAGGCTCTGCATGAGTGAGCAGCAGCACCCTCTAGTGGATGGTTCTAACACTACAACAATTATAATTGATTAATCAATTAATCTGATGGCACCTATTTTACTCTGATTAACTATTAGTCCTCAAATTCTTATAGTTTGATTATTTATTTATATCCCCACTGTTCATATTTCAATATTATCATAAACTTTGAAGTAGAAATAAAACAGTTAAACAAACTAACTTGATTCATGAGATTGTCTAGGGTTTCCGTGGGTCATTAAAAAAATCATTAAAAGTCATTAAATTATTATTATTTTTTTTAAATTAAGGCCTTAATTGGCATTAAAATTAATTAAATGTTATTATTGTGGCATTTAAAATGCTTTAATAAAAAAAAAAGATGTTTATAAAAACAATTTCTTACTATATTCTTAGTTTCTTCTATTATATCAGATATAACTGGTTCTGCTTGTTTGTGCAGAACTGCTTCCTGTTTATCGTAAAGCTGTTTGTTCGGATAAGAAGCTGAAGGTGGAGAAAAAACTAGAAAATGGAAACTTTGACAAAAGTGTCTGGAAACGAGGATTCTACTTGTTCTTGTTGATGGCAGTAAAATTATTTCTAAGAGCAATAAAAGAAAATTAAAAAGCAGTAAATTAGAGTTACTGTATAAACCCTGTTGTCTCTATTATCAATAATTATACTACAAATGGGAAAAATATGAATGTAAAAGAAAAAATAAGCATTATTTGGATCTCAAAGATTTCCTCATTTGTTCTTTTTTTGAAGAGGGAAAAAGGCAGTTTTAAAAAAAGACAGTAGTTATCAGACATATGTTGTTTTTCCAACCAAACCCTTGCTCCAATGTTTCTCTGGTTTTCCTGTTTCCTGCTGCATGACAGGAAACTGCTTTAATTGGAACTAGTAATGGATTAACACTGATCAGACTGACGTATTTTCTAATTTAAAGGATTATTTTATTCAGTTGTGGAGATTTTGAAGTAGTTGATGTTGGTATAAAGTGCATCATTGGTCGCCGCTCCTGTTTACTAACCTGAAGCTGCGGCCTCCTCCTGCAGGAGACGATAACTATGGCAGGAAGCTGATTGTCTTCAGCAGCTGCTGCCTCCCGCCGTCGCACCAGCTGAACCACCGCCGCCTCCTAGAGTAAGCCCCAGACAGCGACCTGCAGAATGTTAACAAAGCTCTTCCCCTCCTGCTGGTTTTCACTGCTTTCCTCCTGCAGATACCTGAAGTTCACACTGGACCAGTACGTGGAGATGGACTACATTCTGGTTTATTTCCACTACGGCCTGAGGAGCAGCAACAAGCCGTCTCTCAAGTGGCTGCGTGAGGCCTACAGCGAGTTCGACCGGAAGTAGGTGACCGGCAGGAAATTCCCCATAATGGGAGCTTGAAATTAAAATCTCTGAAACCCTTAGAAACCTGATCTGCTCCGTCAGGAATCTCCAGACTATAGTTTGAGGCATTAAAGAGGCTGAAGGGAAACTTTTTAAAGCTGCCAATCATTAACCAGAGGTGGTTCTGCAGCCCTGTGATGTCACTACAGGAATCAGGAATGTGTTTTAAAGTCTCCTTAACGCTAGAATCTGACCGGCCGTCAGTTTGAATGGGAACATTTTCCCCAATGGAACTCATGAGTAGTGATGATGTCATCAACTGAAATGATTCTAGTGTTCGATATAAACTC